TGTTTTCAAGATTTTATTTTTCCACTACGGTATTTTTATAGCAAAAATGCTGAAACATTTCAAAGGACATGACAAAACGCTATTTATTATTGACTTTGACCTTTACAGGTTTACTTTACGATTAAATTCTAAGTTATAATAGTGTTCTGTCTAACTAATTTATTAATTGCTTAATTGAACTAATAGCCCACATTTAGAAGCACCAAAAAAATGCAATTTTCCTTCGTAGTAATTAATCAATTTCTAACCAAATTACTGAGAAATGGAATTCCCAGTTCAATTAAAATATTATCTATTGTAGAGTTTTAGAAACAGTTTAAAAGAAATCGTATTAGTTTCAATTTAATTGACAAAAAAATATTTAAAAAATCTTTGTTCAATCAAATCAAAATACTATTTCATTTTTGAAGTTGGTAAATAAAAATGAGAACTTTGTTTTTATTATCAGATGAACACAGAAAGTGGGACCTTTGGATCAATTGTGGCACCTATGTTTACATGAAAATGTTGATAAAATATAAATTTCGCACCGAATAACTTTATTGCTTAGAGCCAATGTGTTATTAAATATATCTTATAACTTAATAAAATCGTTTTTTATTTAAATTTCATGTCAGAGATCAATATATTTTATTTAATGAAGACCATTTAGGTGTCATTTTATCATTAATTAACACGTACTATATGAAGCAAGTCGCTGTCTCTCTTCGAATCACTCTATATATTCCATCCACATCCATCAGAATAGTCAGACTGTGAAGCAAGACACGCCCTAAATAAACCTTTCAACCGGCGATGAAATCATTCTTGGAACACAATTCAATATTGTAATCAACCTAAATTAAATCAACAAATCTGAACAGTCGTACAGGAAGTTGAAATCGTACCAAATAAAGGCAAGAGAATAAAGGAAAGGACAAACAGCACTTTGTGTAAAATCATGTGGGATTTTCTCTAAAAACGTTCGTAGTAATGTTGCAAAACAATCAGATGTATGTTTGCCATTTGTGAAATGTGAAATACCCACGGCCTTTTAACTTGAATCATTTGCATCTGATACCGTTAGGTTTTAAGACCTAAGAGGAATCATCAAATTAAGCTAGACTAATTATAAGTACAAGTGCTAATTTAGATTAGTTTCTGATTTACAGATCAATGCCATGTATGTCTTGTGTGTTGTTTTCACATTTTGATTTGATAAAAGATTTTGCCTCAATTTATCTACATAATAAAATAATATGTAGTGGCTTAATTAATAAATCATTTTTATGTGTTATTATATACATATCTTTAGGTAAAATTCAAATTTACCCAATTCCGCTTCTTGTAAATTGAATTTCATTTGTTCTTTTACTACTTACTTGAATTTGATTACTTGATAAGTTGATTTATCGAGAGTATTGACTCGTATTATTGACGATGTTACGAAAAAAATGTGTCCAACACTGATTAAAAAACAACGATTTTTCTATTAAGATAAATCAAGGAATTGCTACATGTTCTCTTAGAGTTTCTCTTTTTTAGTAATTCCTTTTAATTTCGCCAATTGGATTATTATTACAAACAAAATAATGGATCGAAACTAAAAAAAAGCATTATCTTTATCATCATATTATAAAATTAATTTATATTATTAAAAAATTTTGGTGCGCGGCCAAACTTGTATCAAAACAGCGTGTTTCCAAGAACATCCAGCGCTTCAGATCTTTGAAACTTTAAACTCGCCTGGCGCTAAAACGGTCTCCTAAATTTAGTTTGGCCCTGGAACAACTGTTTATGCCAAGTCCATAAGCTTTTTAAGAGTTTCTTCTATCTTCGTCTAATAGTCATTCTTTAAATGGCGGTTTGACGATTTAATCCCGCTTTTGCAGCTCATCCCGTTCTCTAAACACGAGGAGCTGTTATAAAGACCAGCTTTAAGTTCGAATGTTGCGTAAAACCAGGAATATTTCTAAAATGATGATTGGTATAGGAAAGTGCACTAGAGGTGTGATAAACGTTTATTTTTCTGTAACGTCACAACGTTCCAGTTCCACCTTGGTAATACGTTCCAAAATGCGGTTTCAAACGGAACATGTTACTTCTTAAATGTTTCATCAAACATGCAGAATGATGATGATAGTAGAAATAGTGATGGTGAACTATTAATAAACTCAAAAAATTATGTTTGGTATGGCAAACTGCACAATTTAAAAGCTATCTAAGAAGATAAATTCGAATTTCTTTTAATAACTGACCCAGTTAGAGGGTACAGAGTGAAAGAAGTTTTACCCTTGCCAATATTCAGATCCAATTTCCATCCAAACTGTTGCAACTACAAATTTTCTTATAGACAGTGAATGTGTCGATAATACACTTTGCAAACCATCTCATGTTCTATTTTGAGTATTTTGTTCGGAAAATCGTGTTTTCATCCTTCAAATCATCATTTTCTCAAAAAAATGCAAAAATCATCCATAAATAAAACATTGACAGGTAACATAAAGTTTCTCAATGGCTTTCAATTTTGCAAAATAAGATTTTTAGACAAAATCACTTGCTTTAGAACTAATTTTCAATTACCCAAATCGGGCCCGTATTAAGGGAGTTAATTATTTGCTCATACTGCAGAATGAGTTCCCTTGAATGTTTTAATAAAGTAATATTTTTACTTTGCTCCAATTTGAAGCTCCATAATTAGAGACATATATCAGTCGAATAGAGAAATAAAAGGAAATAAATTGAATAATGTCTGCAACTTTAATTAATCTGTATTATTGGCAGAACGAGGAGGATTGTCATATAAAACATTATACTAAAGAAAAAAGTGGACAAGCAAGATATGGAGGTCAGTTCCACATTATTCTTTGCCATCAAAGTCGTTTTACAAAATGAAAAAAAAACAAAAATAGAGAAAATAAATATCAACGAATGCTGGTCAATTTGGTTATGTTTATTTATCTATGGTTGTTAAATTTAATTAGATTACATAAATAGTTAGAGCATTTATGTGTAAAACTTCACATTCAACAAGTTTTTTTAACTAAAAAAAAATTAGAACTAAAATGACAAACAACAGTTAAAAATCTTAATCCTACAATAGCATATAATTTATGAAACCCTGTCCCTATAGTTATATCAAAGATAACATTATGAATACTATCTACATTCGAAAATTACCCTGGATAAATCATGCATGTAACATAAATTAGAATCTGAAAACTTCGGTTAGGTCTAATTCTTATAATAATCGTTTATACATATTTTCTATAATTCTATGGTGTAGCCATTCAAGTTAATAGTCATATATCCGGAAGCATTTTCTATATGACTAAGAAAAACATCGAAGCTAATAAACAATGATAATGCCAATGGAATGACACAAAAAAGCAATTTGCAGAGATGTTTCACGATACGTGTGTAACTTTGAATTCCTCTTATTTCTACCTGAAGAGGGTCAGAGATTAGCGCATTAGGATCTAGTGGAATTCCGGAAGGTAACCATTTGGTTTGAAGAATATTGTAATTTTCGCGGATCTATTGATCACTTTCGAAATAATAACATTAAACATGCAAAAATAGTGGTCAAACTATCAATACAGCTATATTATAAAACCTTAGTCAATTGCGGGATTAAAATAAATAAGTAATTTTTCGAAGAGACTGCGAAGTCTTCATTAAAAAAATGAGGCTTAAAATTAATATACCTACTTGTTTTTGTCCTTGACCAGTACATTGACCATCCAATACGTTTTTCAATGAACTTTTGATTAGAATTTCGAACTTCTTCGCCAGAGGCAATTTTGCCACAACAAAATTGCGCTTTTTTGTGACTAACATGGAAATTTTCATAGCATTTTGACGCGGAACTAAAAGTAATTAAGCACAAACCGAAGAACATTTAACTTTAAATGTATACATCAGGCTTGCTACAGTACCAGCATACATGAAAAAAAACTGTTAATAAGCTTGAGCAGGCAAACGTTTGCATATCAAAAAGGATACTGTGCTTATTCGATTTTCACTTTTATCAATGTTGCTCAATAAATTTAGAAGCAAAAAGGTAAATATTTTAACATAATGTAGTCGGAAGAGAAATCACACTTTTTGTATAAGACATGCAGCTTTATGCGTTGAGTTTATTTAAAATGACAGTCCTGTTTAAACTGCTACTTACGACTTCGAGCTTTGGGTTTTAGAATACACATAATATTTTTCACAAACGTTCTTGGGGCAGTTTTATTCAAAACATGGAACTTCGGAAGTTAAAACTGCGGCTTGTTTCGTGATGCAATCAGACATACACTTATTATCGACATAGCTAAATTGGTTGAAAAATATTATTCGTAAATATTATTAGTAATATATAATTAAGGCTTACAAAGTTAAGTGTCTGGACCCTCTCTTGGAACAAAATTAATATTTTTTCTACACATTTTAATGAAAAAGTATTCTAATAGAAATGTTTGTAATTTTCAAGTACTTTGATAGAAATTTAATATAGTAGAAATTTAACTTAAGAACATTACGGAACGGATTAGTTTTATATTGACTGAAAATGCTATAATTTAAGCCCCTAATTTTTTAAATAAAAAATTGCAATTTTTTAACCCCGTTTTGAAAAGTGAGAAACCTTGAAAAGGACAACTACTTTCTACTACATTTCAGATGTTTTAATATACGGCTCGTTTCGCCTGAGAGTAAGCAGGTAAAGCCAATATTAAGGCAAAAAATGCATAAAACTGGGTTTTACTCATCATATTTCTTATAAATTTCTTTTTACCCATTTTTATCATCTGTGTTACGTGACGTCAACGTTACGGGTATTGATCAAATCAGTTTGCATTCTGCATAATACATGCATGTAGCAATGATAATGAAACTTTCACAATTGGTTGCGTAATTTCGAATTGCATTTTCTCCCTAATGGTATCCTCTGATTCGTGCAAGAGTATGATCCATGGAGCTTATCGATGGACAATCGAAAATACATATGTATGTTGGTAAAATTGAACACTATCGGCTGCGTTTGTTGCATCATTTATTGAAAACTATGGGAAACGCTCACTCATTTTTTGAATAAAAATACATCGTTGCTGAATAGCATACAAATTTCGTTTTCAGAATGTTTCTCTAACAATGATTTAACAGCGCCTTCATTTACCAAACAAGCTTTGAATACGGCTGACGAATTTATATTCAACTGCTGTAATAACTTAAAATACAAAGAAGCATTCAAAAGACCCAGACTTTGAGATTGTCAGGTTTTTAACCTTTACTTCCAGGTTGTAAAAATTTAATTATAAAACAACTAAACGATTAAGCAATCTTAAACAAGTTCTCTTAAACCGTAAAATAACTGACATGAACACTGTGACTGTTTTAGTTCGTAACACCTATGCACTAATTAAATAATTAACATTTCCAGCGCTCATTGAAGATTTAGTTACTACGTTTTATTTACGATGTTTTTATGGCCGATCTGTTGAATTGGGTTTTGACGAAACTTTAATTTTGTGCTTGATTTTGGCCTTCTCTTCGATGTTCCTAGGACAAACGAATACAATTAATTTTATAGATTTTTTATTAACTTTGTATTGGTGAATTATTGTTAAATCTATAATTGACTTGACTGATCTGAATTATCGAAAGATTTGTTAACGAAATGCATAGCAAATTATTCATCGTATCATGTTGTACATATAAAGTCGCCTAAGATATGATCAGATAATTAGTATGCTTTTGCCGTGATATTCATGTAGATATAATTATCTGGATACCTGAGTTGACAACAAATCAGCAATTTCAAGCGTTTAACTAAGTGAAATATTATAGAATATTTCATAAGCAATTATTCCCTTTTCAAAACCGCATTAGAAAGGTATGTCATTAAATTTGTTGTATATAATACAACGTGAATGCAAAAGTATGTTTTTGAATATATTCGTAATATATCCATGTAAATACTTCACTCATTTGATAGCTAATAGTTAATACCATTGAAACCAAGCAAATGTTGTCAGATTTTAACAGTTTGAATGGCAGAAAAATTTCGCATTCATTAAACAGATTAGCGAGATATTGTTTGTATGATTAGTTCAGACACTTATATTTTGCAATTACCGAAAGTTAAAATACCATCAGAAATGTATGCACCTGCTGGCAGTTAAAGGCAACAGTAATTCGCAAAGTGATTTTGCAACAAAAAAAAACCACGGCAGTCAAGTCAGCATTAAGTTGTAGATCTCAATACGAATAATGACTTAAAATACAGTTTAATTAAAAATTAAACTGAATGATTTCCGATTCTAAATGATTATTTGTGTCAATGACCCAATGGAAAATAATATAAATCAAAACACATCGACAGCCAGTATTAAAAATATATATATATTAAAAATTATTTCTGTAAACTGTTATTTGTCCTAAAAGCAAAGTAGAAATCGAACAAACAACTAAGCTTTCTTTAGTTCTACTAACGTTGACCGAAATATACTTCACAATCATTATAATAATAATTTATTTCAATACGTTTCTCAGAATTGTTCTTCTGTTTTTCTCACATGAAGCATTGAAAGTTGCCACAGTTGCATTTGGTTTAACCACTATTCTAAAGAGTCTATGCAAAATGAACAGTATTTGTTTTAGGTAAATGTTTATTAACCACAAGTGAACGGTTATCAACGCTGTATTTCTGTGCTAGTAAACTATTAAACCGGCCTTATGTAATACTTAATGTAAATTGTCGGATATGATTTTCTAGTAATTCGTCATGGTGCATTAATGTTTCAATTATAAGTATTCTGTAGTCTAATGAGTCAAATTAATAAGTTGCCTTGCTAGATTTTGCACATTTCCATTTTGCCATATATTTTGGTCTTAGCTATGTTTGCAACTTTTCTGCTTTTCTTCCTTACTACTTCATGTATTTTACTTTAACTACTCAGCTGAAATTTTTTCTATTTCTCTGAATGTGATAAGTATTTTTATATGTAATTAAAACATGAAATGTGGCTTCCGCAAAACTTTCAAATTCTTGACGACCGCATGTGAATGGTTTGCCATATATTTCCGCCTATTTTGACCTTAAAACAATCTGGACCAGCAGACGTACGTAATATCTTAGGCAGAGATTATAATTGGCTGACCTCCATACCAAAATCTTACTTCTTGTCGCACCTACTTATTGATCATGACAACATACTGAAAATACTGTAGCTGCACAAAACAGCATCTATCTCACCTCCGATAAGCCGAAGAAAATGAGATACGACATAATCCATGTGCGAGAGGACTGAAAACGATTTCTCTGTTTAAGTCCTACTTTCTTAAGTCTTGCTAAATGAATTCATCTGTATAGGAGACTGGTTTGTCTTGACTTGGCTGCATAACGGTAAATTTTGACGGTAAAAGTAATAATAAACATTGCTGATGAAAAAAATAAATATTTGTCATGTGCTGCAAACATGTCTTGAATCATTAAAATCTTGTAATTAATACAGGTTCTTCGGGTGCTTTAAGTGCCTCAAATGTCAACGTGCCTTCGCTCCGATGCACTAACATGTTTTCAACATTTTACTCTACCAAGCAATAAAAATCTATCTACCAACCAGAAACCAACAATGTTTGCATTGATTTTGTTCTAGTGTGAGTTTTGTTGTACGTTTAAACAAGTTTGAGTAAAACTTAAATATTGATTCCAATAGAAAAAAGCGTGCCGTTTTATAAAATCTCTTTCAAATCTACTAAAAATTGATTGTAAACTCAAGATTCAATAAAATTTTCTGTAAAGCTTAAAGCTTCCACATTTTTTTAAACGTGACGTTTTGTACCTTGCAGTATTTCTCGGAATGCTTGTTCAGTGTTTAATGGAAACAGCCCATCTAATTCTATTGTGTTGTACTTATATTTGCTTTCTTTCTTCACAGTACATTGGGTTGATTACTTCATGCAATTAAACGACAATTTACTTAACAGTATGGATAATTAATTTAACACTTCATACATCCTGAGTCTTCTAAAACGAATTAAAACTTGTTCATCGACTGATTTTCTAGGCTTGTTACCTCGTAATGCACAAATTAAAATGATTCAGCAGAATATGATCTGAACATGAAATTAAATCTTTCATATAGTTTTAGTATATTGAAGTTTGTCATCATATGAACCAAAGCATTAAATTGGGTGTGTGAAAACAATAAAAATAAGAAATATAAAAAATAGAGGATCACTCCACTTTTCAACAGTTTTAATAATTCTGAAAAATAAGCAGTTAGTGAAGGAGCTGAAATGAGATTTGAGAAACAGTGTTCACAAGAAATTTTGGCTGAGTTTCTATACATATTCCTTAAATAAATAACGACAATTTCTATATTGATGCGTAAGAACTGATGTCTCTCTGAAATATACTTATTCTTGTTTTTTCTAAAATTTGCTTATAGTGTTATTATCAATGAGAGTCTTGAAATAAAAAAAAAACTCTTTGACGTAGTTTTTCACATTTTGATATGCTGCTATATAGACTTCAGATCCTAATTTCCCATGCAAATTCAATCGCAACATTCTTAATTAAATACCGGTATGTTTAACATTTTTACATACTAGTTCAAGTCTGCATATTTGCTACCTTCAAACATAATTCCAGAGTGTATACTTAAAAATCATCAACAGATACAGAAGTAAAATTATTACTCATCAACTTGGCTAGAAATATTTTAATTTCCCATTGCAAAACCCGCGAAAGATCCTTAAAATGTAGCAGCGAAGGACCGGCTTAAAGAAATGTGCGCAACAAAAACACAAAAGATAGAAAGAGCTTAGCTATAAAACCGATTAAGAAATAGAAATATTAGCAAGACCAGAACGTGGAGCTGGATCCTCTAAGAACTAAAATAATATAGATTCAACAAGAGAACATCGGAATCGAAAAAACCAATAGAAAGTAACAATATTTGACAAAAAATCATGGATTTCATGAACAAAGAAGAAAAACATGAAGCAAGCCGAAAAAGTAGATAGAGGTCGAGTAAAGATACTAAGAAAAATGCTGGATGTCACTAATATGCTTCCAAATAACAACTCAAAATTTTGAAATAGAAAAAGTTTTGTCACAAAAATTTGCTTCAAATATTTTCTTAGTAAAGCCATACGATAATTAATTAACTTTTGTTTGCCTACTTTCACTAATGTTCTGAATTAGCCATTAAATTCCGCGTATAATTCTAAATAATTAAATAATGCACAGATTACATTCGCTTAATTATATAATCAAATATAAATTTAGAAAAATTTATAGCTAATGAGCTTAATTAAATCGAAACTAATTTCAACTACGAAGCAGTATGAAATTGAAATCGGAAATTCTAGAATGTGCCTACTTTTGGAAATATCAAAATTGCAGAAAATACTGCTAAGACCTTTTCTCGATACTTAATGGAAATCCACAGTTGTTAAGGACATCTGATGATTTTTTAAAATACATTGTCAATTGTAAACTACATTTTAAAATCCAGCAAAAAGTTTTAATTTTTCTTTATTCGTCAATGTATTGGTATTGGTTGGAAGCTAACTTTTGTATAGTTTATGTACACCACTTTGTATGTTGAAAATCGGTTTCAACTCATATACAAGAGGTTAGCAGTTTTTAGCACCCCTCATTTGCTCATTGGAATACAGATAGCAAAGTATTTTTTATTGTACTTTTCGGCTTTGACTTGAAGCGTTTTCGAAGATTGTTTGGCAAGCAAACATTATATTGATAAAAAAAATTGTAAAACTCGTTTGTACATGCCAGTTTATAATTAGTAAATATAGTAAGTAGCTGCAATATACTATTTCACATTTCAGTTCAAATTGTTGACACATTTTTCGATTGACTGCATGGAACAATTTCGACACGAAATTGTTTGCTGATTTAGTTGTTGATTTACATATCTATTTCAAAATCTTCTAGACATTACTTTAGAATTCGAATGTTGCACTTTATAATCCTATTTATAAATGCCAACATTTAAACGCATATATTTATGCTAAACACGCCATATTTAAGAAGGTAATTTATAAACTGTCGATTTTATTAGTGCTTACCATTTAAAGAGTTGTTGTGAACAAAGCAGCTTGTGAATAACACATCCGTGAAGTATTCTAATATCCAAAATAAAGCCACTCTAGAGTTGTTAAAGGTCACTTTTAGCACTACTGGTTCCTTTAAAAGGCCACTATAAACAAACACTCGCGCAATTTGAATTTGCTAAGTTCGCGCCAAGAACCCGATATATTGCAATTTGGTACTAAGAGTTAATTGGGCAATATTTAGTCGAAGTTGGTACGGTACCTTCGCTTGCAAACAATTATGTTGACATTTAGAAGGCGCTCTACGCGGCGCACCTGTACGCCAGGTTCACCTATGAATTCAACTTTTACTGTGACTTCAAGAAACGGTGGTACCCGAGATTGTAGGTAGTACCGGTGTTATTGAGCCAGGTAACGTCCAGGTACCAGGAAAAGTAGATAGTTTGCGCTCCGGCAAAAACGGTAACGATAAATTACAGAATACATTTAAATAAAGTACATGCTCTAACTGAGCTATTTAAATCCCTATAAGAACTAAAATATAACATTTTTTATTCTCCTGAAGATAATACATTTTCGTAAACGTGTAAGATTTATATTAAGTCTTGCTTGTCGAATTACTTTTTATGGTTGATAATTAGTTTCTCATTTAGTAGAAAGACTCTTCAATAAAGACAATTTGAATTAAATGTCCAATGCGTATTAATTTTCTTGAAAATATTTTTTTTTATTATTGTTCTAGCTAGTCAAATAAAATGGTGGGGGAAAATCAAATAACGGTTCAAAAAGTTGTTAATAGCTCCGTATGGGCTTAGCCAAATTCTAGCCAGCAGGCGCGTCATAAAAAGTCGTCAAACTTTTTCGATTTTCTCAAATTTTCTAAATGAAATAATATATATTTTTTTAGCTGCTTAGAAGGAGTATAAAAAATGAAGCAAAATAGTGAAAACCACACACCGATATATTTGTTATAACTGAAGATATAAGCAATTTGACAATAACAATGATATTGTTGGGTTGTTGACAAAACAATCGGTTCTGAGAAGAACATCAGTTTCTTACAAATATACTTTGGACATATGAAGCTACTTTTAACAGCAATGGGGGAGTTAATTTGCATAATATTCATTATTGGTGCAGGACAAACCCTCACTGGATGCAGGAAGTTGAGCATCAAGGGCGATTTAGTGTCAATGTCTGGGGCGGAATAATTGGGGGCCGAATTATCGGTCCATTTATATTTGAACAAAAGCTCAACGGAAATATTTATTTACACTTTTCACAAAGCCAACTACCATTACTATTGGAAGACATACCGGTGCGAAAGCGAGTAAACATGTTTCTTCAACAAGATGGGCCTCCGGCTCATTTCTCGGTAAATGTCCGTCGATTTTTAGAGAACGCTTATCGTGATAGATAGATAGAACGAGGCAGTTTATTCCCGTGGCCAGCTAGCTCACCCGATCTTACGTGTATGGACTTTTACTTGTGGGGAAGAGTAAAAGAGATTGTTTTCCAAACTAGACCAATTTCCAAACAGGACCTAATAAACAAAATTAACGCAGATCATCACATTCCTGTTGCAGAAGTAAAGAGTGCTGTTTTATCTACAACAGACAGGCTTGAGCAATCCATTCGAAATGACCGAAAACATTTTGAGCATCTAAGCAGGCTTGAATCCCAAGGGTGCATTTCATTCAAAGAATACTCATAATGGGTTAAATAAAACAATCGGTTCTGAGAAGAACAACCCAACAATATCATTGCTATTGTCAAATTGCTTATATCTTCGGTTATAACAAATATATCGGTGTGTGGTTTTCACTATTTTGCTTGATTTTTTATACTTTTTCTAAGTTTTCTAAAAAATTACATGTCATTCCATTTAAAAAATTTAAGAAAATCGAAAAAGTTTGACGACTTATATTTTATAGTAGGTGTTAATGTAAATCAAGAGCTATTCAATTGCAATTTAAGCGTTGAATTTGGTTAAGCCAATACGGAGCAATTAACAACTTTTTGAACCGTTATTTGACTTTCCCCCACCACCTTATTTGATTAGCTAGAACAATAATACTCCCACAAGAAATAACTGAAAGTTTATCAAGAATAGAATTAAGGTATTTGCAACCTACATTGGCCTGTCCTAAACTGCTAAAAATCTGCATTCAAAATTTACTATTGCAATTTTGCCCTCTTGCGGCCATTTTGCAAACTTGCAAGTTATTTCCAGCCATTTCCCTGAGCCACTTTACTTATATATTTTTTTACTTGAAATCGATACGACTAATAGTTTGTGAGATATGGCCGACCACCTCTCTGAGTGGCCCACCCTGTACAGAGCTTGAAATTCATTTTTCTTCATTTTATTTGCCAAATTTTCTACCAAAAGCTTTAGGCATCGCAAAAGTAAAACCATTTTAGAATTAAACACATTTTCAAGAGTTCTGTTTAGTGAGTTGAAAAATGAAGGCAAAGTATTTTTCATATGTCCTCATGTATTCTCAAAGAAGCAGGATTTCATAATTTTTTAATTGCCGCACGCCGCACTGAAGACTCTTTCATATATTTTTAACATTAAAAGGGGAATAAAAAAATGTTGGACTTTCAAATGTTTGCAAATATTGGGCAACAAAATCATAAAAGATTTGCGAGTTGAACATGAATTTTATCATATTACGAATTATTCATTTAAGGTAAAGACCGGACAATGAGAAAATGGAAATAGCCAGATAATATTTTCAAATATAAAAGCTCTATGTTGAATTGAATAAATAAAAGCTCTATATGAATGAATTTCTTTAATTTGCAGCTTTGTTTATTTATTTTCTCCGATAATTAGTGTCTAAATATTTTGGAGACTTGTTGTTTTCTTTTCTAACTGTTCTAAATTTCTAAAGCGCCACTAATACGAACAACAATGTACAACAAATAGAGACATGACGCCAATTTTGAATCACCCTGTATATAAAGATTAACTAAATTGTCAAATTAAAGTTTGTGTGATACATCATACATATACAAAAACAAAAGCAAGCAAGAATGCAAAAACACTTGCTTAGATCAAAAACGTATTGACAGATTCAAAAAGACCCTTGTTGTTCGTTATCTTTATTTTTTATTTTATTTGAGTAATATATAAATTTTATTGATATTGACCAATAAAATTATAACGCTGACGTATTTATATAAAAAAAAGTTCCCATAAACAATCTCCGAAACAGGTTAAGTCACGTTCTGCCACAAGCCACAGTCTATAACACGTACATTACAGCCTTCTTCACTATTCCATGTGCTCGTAAGTACCAGTTTTATCCAGTTTTATTCAAGACATATATTTTATAAAATTTGTTCCGAAATTATGGCAACTGAAAACTTTTTTATTGTAAATTTGTTGTCGGTTGTCCCGTTTCAAACAAGTTTATATTAATTTATCTTGAAATATTAGCACAATTAATTATTTCATATTTGAATCACCATGTTTGTAGTTTTGACAAATTTACAATTATCCATGGTATATTTATCGGATAATTATAATATTAAATACTCCACACTTTAATAAATTAACGAAACTGGTACATATCATATTTGATCTGATTTTTTTTAAACTGTTGAACTTAAATCTTTATAGATTCCTGCTGTACTTGTGCTACACTTTGCGATTATTTTAAACGTCTTTGAAGGATCCCGCTGTTTGCGGTACGTCTCTATTGAAGGAACCAAGTTGTTGCTTTGCATATAGTGACCGTTAAATGGTACGATTTGACAAAATGGCGAAGTACCATCAGTACCAGGGCCAGAACAGAAACCACCGACAACTTGATGACTGGGTACCATAAACTTATCATTGAAGCGACATCTCTCCATTGCGAATGGGTCTAAAGAAGCACCTTGGTTAAATTGGCGAAAGGTCTTTAAACGTACTAAAGTACAACTGTTTTTTTTTTAATGTAGTATAGAATCTACACTATTATACAATAGATGGACTGACGCAAAAGAATTTTCGACTTTCATTTTACTGTAGTCAAAAAGAAAATCCGGCAAACCATGGTTGGGAATAGGGCTCGGAATCAAACTCGAATAATTCGAGTATTCGAATATTCGAATATTCAAAAAGCGAATAATTATGTGTAGTCATAACTCGAATATTCGAA